TGTGAAACGTCCTTCATGAGCGTTGCACACAGTTACTCGCACTGGGTCGGCACAAACCTAAACTACAATTTAGAAGAAAGGTCAGATGCAAGCAACAATACCTTCAGAATGGTTTTCTCTTCCACAAATGCTAGATCAACAGAATCGACAGAAACTCTGATCTGTCGGTACTTCATTTCTTCTTCGGTCCGACACTGTCCCAACGGCTCATTTTTGGTTTTTCCCGCCACTGAGCATGCTTTTATCAGTTGACCGTGTTGACAGAATTGCATACGATCGGGCACTTTTGTTGCGTCGTCAGGAGAAAGGACAAACATTAGCAGAGACTCGAGGATCTGATGAAGCACGAGAGCCTGAAAAAGTTTCGATTTGTATGACTATAGGGCGGGTTCTTAGGCTTACATGAGCTGGAAAATCTAAAGTTCCTGCTATGTCGCCGACAAGAATCTCCATAATCCAACCATATTCCACGAGGCCCATGTTCCAAGCAACATCCTTGGCAGAGTACATTGCATGACCCCTGATATTTGAAAGTGTCTTTTTTTAGTTTTGGAGATTATTTCACTAATAAATTCTCACCTAAACTGAAACCCAGAAAGTGTGATGCATCCTGGACCGGCTCCTGTACTCGATTTGTCTAGATATGCGCATGCCGGACTCACTCCAACTTGAATGAGTGCTTGTGTTTTCGTCTTCTTAACTTCAACAGAAACTTCTTCAACGAAAACGACAGGAACCTTTTCTGGCTCAGCTCCTTCGTCTACCACTGGTGAATAAACTAGCATTTCGGCTCGTATATTGCACACTCGAACTGTTACATCAACGTCCATCGTTCGGAAAAATTCAATAGGTTTTGAATCGTTTGAATTGTTTTTATCGAAGGCAGATTTCAATTTCACTGGGTCATCTATCTTATTAGTCTCGTCATTTAGTGATGTCATCTGGAAAAAACCTTATAATAACAAAAAGTAATTTCAAAATGAAACTCACAGAATCATACCACCCGAAATAGTTGTTTTCAACTCAAAAAGAAGTTTCACTAGAAGTCCGGTGAACTTTACATCACTTCCTTCAATCAGTATATCTACACCAAGGAAATCTGGCTCGAGCTGGAAAAAAGCGAACAATTCATCATTCCAAAAATGTAAACTTACATCCCACGGATGGTTGGCTGGAGGAGGCAAATAATCAGCGAGGACTCCAAACGGAATATCTGATGGAATATTCGACTTCACAACTAATGGACGGTAGCGGTGATCAAATTCCATTCTGACGAGTTCTGTCCGCCACAGCTCAAACCATGTGTCTCTGTCGAGAGAATGAGTTCCATATTTCGATGGTGGAGCATATGAATTGCATCGAGCGAGTCTGGAGAGAGCGGCTCGCATTGGCGCTGTTGCGGAATCAGGTGGAAATCTAAAAGAGTGAGCTCCGATGCTAAAACATTACTTTCCTACTAACTTGGCTCTCATTGCAACCCCTTTCTCTCCTTTGAGCTCATACTTCATAGATTGCATCTGTGGCAAGAAATCAACAAATGGAAGTTCACAGTCGAATTGGAGCTTTTCTCCCACTATCGCCACTTCGACATTTTCTGCATTGATATCATCGGTGTCTACCCAATTCGATTCGTTGAGCATCAGAACTACCTGAAAACTCACTGATTTCACATTAAAATTTCAATGAGAATATAAAAGCACCTCAAAACTGTCAACTACTCTCATTCGATTGTGTACTCGGAACGGAACGAATTTCGAAATATCTGAAGGTTCATCGCCAATCCAATCGTTGACTAAATCAGTGAAAAGACGTTTATGGTCCCATACAAACCAGGCGACCGCTGTTGTGAATGTGTAATCGAGGGTCCATGTTTGTTCACCATTCCATGTGAGGGGATAAACAAAGTTTCCATCAACATTGAATTTTTGGCAGCTGAGAAGCTTGGTGAAAACTAGCGATGTTGTGGCTTCGAAACTGAAAATTCATAGAAATTGAAGACATGTGAGAGGTAACATTCTTACTTTAAAAATTCAGCCTTCATGTTCCAGTAGAAACCTTTTTCAGTTGTTATCCACAGGATTGACATCTTTAAAATAAAGGACTATTTCATTTTCAGATGATGAAAACTCACATCAAGATTACTATGAGCTCCACATCGAGTTCGAATACTTTCTAGTTGATCACCTCTTATAAACCAGATATCCATGCATGTTTCTTTTGTTAGAACAATTTTCACATCATGCTTCACATATATCCTTTTCTGTCCTCTAGTCGGCATGACTGTCGGCGAAACATTCTGATAGTCGGGAGGATAGAAAAATGAATATATCAGGAATCTCTGCTGCTCCGTCCACGGACCAAAAGATATCACTGTATTGTTACCAAAACGCCATTCCGATGACCATATAGGCAGTTTTGCAGAAATACTTTGTGGCTCATCATCGGTTACGTAGCCTGAAAGTTGTAATACTTCAACCGAATTCTCACAAACAGCCTACCGAGTAAATCTTGTTTGTAGACAAATTCAAGAGATGCCGACTGCAGTATAGGGCATCCTCCATCATTCCCCGTAGTTCTAGGCGGCTCTTTATCTTTAGCAGTGAACTGATACTGCTCATTCTTAATGAGTGAAACAGCTACATTTTCTGTTTCTCCTTCGAATGTTAGCAAAGCACGGTCGAACGCTGATTCTGTTACACTCGTCTTACCTGAAAAGGAATATTTTGCATACAGATTTTTTAAAAGGATTTCTATTACTGTTCATGTTTTCAAACCGTGTCCACAGCGCATATGGCAGAAATTTATTGCCTACAAGAATGCAACCTGCTGAAACTTCAACGTGCACAACTCCCAATAGATTCCACATGTTCTCCCAGACAGAAGATGGAGGCGAGCTGAAGCTAGAAAAGGGTTGAAGCAAAGAATACACTTGGAACATTACGTATCGGGTGGTTTGTTCTGTGGACGTTTTGCGTCGTTCATATTCGTGCTTTCAAAAAACCAGTCAAATCGTCGAATTCGTGCAATCTCTGTGTATTTTGTCAAGTTGTTGTAGATATTTACATGTAATCCGTTAAAAGAGAGATGTAATCTTGATGCTCTTTTTCTAAAATCTGACCTGTCGTTCTCAAAGTATCAAGAAACTTTACTAACGTTGAAAGGTTCAGATGCCGCTGTTCGACAGGTCTCCAGTATTTGAATACTAGATGACCATCGCTCACTTTGATCGTCATATCTCCGTTATCGTAGATTACATTTCGAAACATAATTTTACCAGCATGTAAGCCTGAGATCGAAATACCTCCTATCCTAAAGTGAATTCCATTTTTCGATAATCGAAGATATCTGCAATGACATGTATATAATGGAGACCAAAAAAGTCTAACTGTGTCGACTTACTTGTCTATGACAAATGTAAAGAAGAGAGCACTGACTCTCGAAAAGAAAAGAACAACGAATGTTCCCCATGCTATGAAAAGTGTAATTGATGTTACTGTCAGCCAGAAAGGAGTTTGTTTCGGGTCTGTTTGGTCCTCATCAAAGTCAATGCGGATGTCGAATGGTTCCGACATGCTTCTGGCGCAAAACCCGTATTAGGCCCGGGGCATTGACTGAAATCTGAGAATTAAAAGTTATTATCGTTAATGAACATTTATTTTGTTTTCTTTTCTGAATAAATTCTTCAATTACTGCAAAGTATGTGTCTCAAAAACAAAAACATTTCTCTCAAAAACAAAAATCAACAAAATATTGGTGATGCGAGCACGCTCTACCGCACAAGAAAAAAAGGAGGGTTGTTTAAATTTTGTTTTTTAGCAGGGATGTTGCATGGAGTTCAATATGAAGAGAGCCAGGAAAAGAAGTTTCTGAGAAAAAAACATCTCAAAACAGTCAACACTTATTTTTTTAACAAATAGTAGGATTCGTTAAGTCGCGGGAAAACTTTATGAATGCGCTAATGAATGTTCTTCTCAATAAAAACCAAATGCATATTTTTGCAACAAGAAATATATTAAGAAGTATCGGTGAAAACTTCACAAAGGGCTTTATTATGCTTGTATAAAATCGGAACTATGGAAGAGAAAAGCTTGTAGGCGTGGCCAACTGTTCCCACAGCGACAACTACCGTAACCTAAAATTTTCAGTCCTTTTTCTCTCGAGTACTACTGTTTTTCGACAATTTTTGTGTTGAAAACCTCCGAAAAAGTGGGAAAAAAGTTCTCTAAATCTTAAAAAGTTGCCGGAAAACGGACGAAATTCGAGAAAAAAAGTAAGTAAAAAAATATTTGCTAACTACGGTGGTTTCTTCCACAGCTCTGATTTTCGCATAATTTTTCAAATCTTTAATAACCTAAACAAATATAGAACTTTTGAGTTCGGAAGGTCGGATGGGAGCTGGTTAGGGGAGGGCATTTTCTCTTTTTCAACTTTGGATTGTGAGGGAAGCGACAAAAATCAGTTAGAATTTGATACACTTCGTAGATACCAATAACAACAATTATACAGGTCAAACAGGAAGTGTTTTTGCAAGTTGAAAGCCTCTACGTGGTCATAAAAATTACACGAAATCTAGTACGTGATTTTAGTTTTTCCAAGCGTATATTTTTTGGTAAAACTATGTCATAATCCTTGTTTCATAAAATTTATTTCCAACAACAATATTAACTCTCATTGAACAATTTCAACAAGAGAAGAATGGTGGGACGCAGCAAAAGCAGATACACATTAATCCTAGTTATTGTTCCACTCCTCTTTCTGATAATTGTGGAAGGCGGGAAACGAGTCTCAAAGAGATTCTGTAATATAATTAGAACGTTTAGCTCAACGCAATGGGACGTCATCAGGAAAGTCGAAACTAACAAAGCAAATGTACGCATATGATAAAAATAAAACAGTTGAACAAGCATCTGTATTTCGGTTCAAGTAAGAAAAGTTAGGTATGTGTAAAAGGAATTGTAACCTAGTTTTGAAGCGTTCTTATATTCGGAGGACTTATCAATATGACACTCTCATTGGTGAATCTGATTTTTGGGCTTGTTAACTTTTATTTGATTTTTGGAAGGGTTGGTTTTTGCTTCAATAATTTAAAGAAACATATATTCCGTTACAGTATGATGCGCGTCTGCGTCAGGTCGCAGGTAAACTCAGAATAGCTGTGGATGAAATTGCAAGCAGGGATTTGCATCCAAAAATCAAAAGTATTGACAAGTTATGTGCCATAAAAGTATACAATTTTTCCAGTGTCTCTATCACGAGTCATTCCTCCGAATACCCCATTGTTGACCGAAATGATGAAATTGTTCAAGGAACCAAGCAAACTGTTCGATAATACGAATGAGCTATTCACTGATCAAAAAGAAGCACGTCTCCGTAAAATACAAAACAAAGTGAGTACTGCAGATTCTTCTTTGAAACCTGAAGTAAAGTTCCAGAAAGAGAAAGAGGAGCACACGAATACAGTGAAATCGGAAGGTTCAAAATCTCAACAAGCGAGTGCTCACAGCAATCCGAAATCAACTGTTACTGATTCGAAAAAGAAAAAATGATAGGATTACTATAACTTTCTGAACAATGAATCTTGATTCCAATTATTTTTCTTTTTTCCATGATTACTGTTGTCACATATAGCATCTTTCTTCTCAATTATCAACTGATAAAATATTGATGATACCATGATAAACAATTTATCAGTATCTTACACAGGAATCGAGATAATTGAGCTAAAAGTTATCGTTTTGGGTGGGTTTCTATTGGAGGAAATACGAAATGATGTTAATATCTACAATTTAGAACAATGCGATTCTCCAGGTACTTTTTTCGGGACACAGTGCTTTATAAATATTATAACTTTTTTCAAAGATTACGGTAGTATTTTTTCCGGATTTCTCTAAAATTTTGAAAATCTAAAATTCAAAATACTAAAATTCTAGAATTCCAGAAATCTAAACTTCCGAAATTCCAAAAATCTAAAAAACGAGAATTCTAAAGTTCAAAATACCTAAAATTCTAGAATTCAAAATATTTAAAATTCTAAAATATCTAAAATTCTAAAATTCTAAAGTACCCAAAATTCTAAAATTCTAAAATTCTAAAATTCTAAAATTCTAAAATTCTAAAATTTTAAAATTCTAAAATTCTAAAATTCTAAAATTCTAAAATTCTAAAATTCTAAAATTCTAAAATTCTAAAATTCTAAAATTCTAAAATTCTAAAATTCTAAAATTCTAAAATTCTAAAATTCTAAAATTCTAAAATTCTAAAATTCTAAAATTCTAAAATTCTAAAATTCTAAAATTCTAAAATTCTAAAATTCTAAAATTCTAAAATTCTAAAATTCTAAAATTCTAAAATTCTAAAATTCTAAAATTCTAAAATTCTAAAATTCTAAAATTCTAGAATTCTAAAATTCTAAAATTCTAAAATTCTAAATGTCTAAAATTTTAAAATTCTAAAATTCTAAAATTCTAAAATTCCGAAATTCCAAAATTCTAAAATTCTAAAATTCTAAAATTCTAAAATTCTGAAATTCCAAAATTCTAAAATTCTAAAATTCTAAAATTCTAAAATTCTAAAATTCTAAAATTCTAAAATTCTAGAATTCTAAAATTCTAAAATTCTAAAATTCTAAATGTCTAAAATTTTAAAATTCTAAAATTCTAAAATTCTAAAATTCCGAAATTCCAAAATTCTAAAATTCTAAAATTCCAAAATTCAGAAAAATTCTAAAATTCTAAAATTCTAAAATTCTAAAATACTAAAATTCTAAAATTCTAAAATTCTAAAATTCTAAAATTCTAAAATTCTAAAATTCTAAAATTCTAAAATTCTAAAATTCTAAAATTCTAAAATTCTAAAATTCTAAAATTCTAAAATTCTAAAATTCTAAAATTCTAAAATTCTAAAATTCTAAAATTCTAAAATTCTAAAATTCTAAAATTCTAAAATTCTAAAATTCTAAATGTCTAAAATTTTAAAATTCTAAAATTCTAAAATTCTAAAATTCCGAAATTCCAAAATTCTAAAATTCTAAAATTCTAAAATTCTAAAATTCTGAAATTCCAAAATTTTAAAATTCTAAAATTCTAAAATTCTGAAATTTGAACTTTTTCATTTTTTTTTCTGTTAAGTGGTTCAGAATCTGAATTAATGCAAGTTGTTAATAAGATTTATTCAAATTTATTCAAGTTCCTTTCACTCATGGGGAGAATACAACTGATCTCAATTCAGGGAAATCATTTTCAAAAATAGCTGTCTCATCAGACGATCGTTTCTTGGACATCGATTCCTGTCTCGTCTGCTCTTTTGAACTGTCAGTGTCCTCCTTCTGTTCCTTTTCCAATTTTTTCATGTTTTTCCTTCTGAACTCCTGAAGACGTGACCAGTAGAAATCAGCAAACAGGAGAATCATGACTGAGAGCCCGATTTGTAAGGTGAAGATTCCAAGGGCGTTCGCATCACATTGGGTTCCTCGTGTCATTTTCTGCAAATTCATGTGAAATGAAAACGAAAAAAAAACGAAAAAAAACTAACTGCAGCTGCGAATAGTGTTGCAATGAATGGAAGAATGAGTTGAAGCATTTGGGATGAACATACAGCTACCCAACAAGGCGTCCATCTATTCAGAATCTTGTATCCAGACAAATAGGCATAGAGAAAGACGTGAGCTGTCAAATTGAAGAAAACAATCCAGCGATGAATTGCAAAGTTTTGAGAATAGAAGGTAAAGGCATAGGAGAGAGATAAGAAATGATGGATAATGTGGATTGTGAGTGGGCGGCGAGCATCATAAAGAAGAAGCAACGTTTCGAAAAGATCAACGATTTTGGTTATCGTCCAGATGAAGACAACCGTTCCAGATAAGAATCCTGAACATAAAATATGCTACTAAATGACTATTGATTCATTGCCCACCAGTATATAGAGATCCTGCTTGGCAAACAGAATAATGCCATCCGCTGAATAAACTAATCAAAATCTCAGGAATCATCAAAAGACCAAGTACCAACTGGAAAATGCAATTGAAGTAGTACCTTGAAATATTGTGCAAAGTAAATCTACCATTATTTTGAAAATGCCTACCATTCTTTCAGATATGACCGATCTGAATTATGAGATGGTCTGAAGTTGAAAGCAATGAACACGTACAAGATTCCAAGAAGATGGATTGGGATAAAAGACACATTGACAGCTGATGAGAACCATGAGTATGGGAACTGAAAAAATATTTGTTTTATGGTAAGAGGATGTTTTTTATACCATTTCTCTTTAGTAGAATTCCTAGTAGACTGTGTTTTTAAAATAACTGTGAACTTTTGTTTTTAAGGGGTTCTTCAAACTTGATGTTGGTTGATTTTCAGATTTTTTAGCATCACGTTTTTTATTATTATTGTGGTTTTGTTTGTTTTCTCTGGGATTAGCTGGTTTTCTCTAAATAGGCCAATTTCTGTTGTTGTTTTGTTGATCGCGTTTAAAGGTACAGACCTTTGCGCGCTCCAGGGGCCCCGCCATGAAAGAGGGGAGTGAGGGGGAAGCGCCGCCCATCGGGCCTCCAGTCTACGTGTGTGTTACGTCCCGCCCGCCCAGTCCCCACATTACGATATGCAACAGCACAAACAGAAAAGTCAAACTAATGAGTAGAGTAGAGACACAAGAATCTGAACGTGATAAAGAAAGAGAATAGTTTTATAGTTACGTCGTATTTCAGAAAGAAGAAAGTTGAAATTCCTGGAGGATGTAGCTGAGTATGGAGGACCAGTGGACTTCAACCAACTCATACATGTTCTACAAACCGTCAGCAGAAAGGCGAAAGCCATCAGTACAATAAAAGCTTATGAGCGAGAGAATCATGTGAGGAGGAAGTGGTTAAGCGCAAACCATCTCCCTTTGGACGAGAAAACGACGATTCTCTATTTGGCTCATCGATTTTTGACAACAGGAAGCGGATCTCTGGCAAAGATCGCTTCCGCGTTTCAAATGGCAAATGGGACATTCTCGGTTCTGGAAAGTCAAATGGTGTCGGATATGATCAGAGCAAAGAGAAGAGAGGAGATAGCCACCAGACAACAACCGAAAATGGTGGAACTTGAGAGTATCCAGAAACTTTTTGAATCACTTTCGGATGATCCAAAATCGGAGCGAGATACACTCATAGTAGTCTTGTCGTTTTTCGCTCTCCTTAGAGCAAGTGAAACTGCAGAGCCGAGAGAAGTGGGAAGATATCAAGTATTCTAAGAACCGTCTAGAAGTCCGAATCAGATCGGCCAAAAACGATCAGCTAGGTCTGGGACGGAGCACTTTCGTGGAATGCCCAGAAGGAGGAGATCTAGATTGTCTCATCAAGCGATGGAGAGTTAGAGTCTCTCTATCAGAAAGTACGTCAGAGTTCTTGTTCCCGAGTTTTCAAAAAGGTGATACGCTATCAGCAAATACTATTTCATCTTTCGCCAGAAGACGTCTGGAAATGATAGAAGTGAGCGCCACTCATCACGCGCTCAGAAGAGGATCGGCGAACGAACTTCAGGCCAAGGGACTCAATTTGGAGCAAATCAAAGCCAAAGGACGGTGGAGATCGGGAGGTGGCTTGATGAGATATCTTCAAGACAATCCAATGGCCCAGGGACTCAGCGAAGTTCCAGAGGAGAAAGAAGTGACAGGGGAAGCCGAAGAGGACGATGGACCACCAGTGCTAGAGGAGGAAGTCTAAATTGACTCAATTGCTTGCTAATCTTGTAATATTTGTTAGAATCGTATTAACAGGTTATTGTAGTACCGAAACGTTTCTTGGTTATTTATCAAATCTATCCGCTTCATAGTATATTATTGTTTTATTATTGTTCTCATTAACAAGTGTCTCCCTCCCCTCTTTTTGTTGTTTGTTCTCACTAATTTATCGCTTGTTTCTCATCTTGTGTCATCCAAAAATTCTTCTGTCCCCGCTGCTTAGTTATCACTGGATAACTACTTTCCCCTTGTCATTATACCCGTACGTACAGTACATCTTTCTCTGTTAACAGCACCACTACATTCTACACACCATATCCATCCTAAATAAACCTGTATCATCCATAATTTTCGTTTTTAGTCTTATATTTCAGCGTAGGACTAGAGAAAACAATTTCTCCATGACACACAGTGGAGAGGAGAATTTACTTTACTATGATTCAAAGACTACTATTGTTTTTAAGGATTACTGTAGTTTCGCAAATATTACTGTAGTTTTTTTTCAACTTCAAAGATTGCGGTAGTTTTGGAATTTCAGGGACTACTGTAGTTTTTGTAATTTCAGAGATTACGGTAGTTTCTCGAAAATGCAGAGATCACTGTAGTCTCTCAAATTTCACAGATTACTGTAGTTTCAGAATTTTGAAGATTACTGTAGTTTTCAAGGATTACTGTAGTTTCCTAGTTTCACATGTTACTGTAGTTTTTTGAACTTCAGGGAATACTGTAGTTTTCAAGGATTACTGTAGTTTTGGAATTTTAAGGATTACTGTAATTTTTTTAATTGCAAAGGTTACTGCAGTTCTTGAATTTTAGAGACTACTGTAGTTTTGCAAATATTACTCTAGTTTTCTAATTTTAGTGACTACTGTAGTTTTTGGAATTTCGGAAATTACTGTACCTTTTTCAATTTCAGAGATTACGGTAATTCTTGAATTTCGGAGACAACTGTAGAATTTCAAATATTACTGAAGTTTCAGAATTTCAAAGAGTACTGTAGTTGTTGAATTTTGAAGACGTTGAATGATCTATTTGATTTTGTTGTTATTCTCTTAATTGTTATTGTTTTGCATAAGTTTCGTTTTGTTGAATTTATTTATTTTTTGAAAAAAACAACGAAACTTTAACAATTAAAAAAACAGACACAGTAAACAAACAAAGCTTTAACAACGAACAACAAATTTAAGAACACAAGAATCTATTTATTATCGTCAAGAGAGTTCGCCATGGAGAACTTGACCATCTTTGCTTGTCGTTGTTTTTCAGCCAGCCGATCCTTGTTCTTTTGGGAGTTTTTCAATGACTTCTTCATCTGAAAAAGAGGCGACATTAAATTATTAACTTATTGTAAGTGAACTCACCGAATTCATTTCATCCGTCTTTGTGGCCTTCCTGTTTTTTCTCTTCCACTCTTTGGTGTCTTCGATTTTCTGATTCAACACATCAATAGCGTTGTCGCCAACCGCTCGCAATCTTGAGACGATTTCAGCAGTGATATACTTTGTTCTCATTGAATCAGAACCATCCGAACGAGGAAGAGGAGCGGAGAGTTCAGAACGAAGTTGTGATTGAAGTTGACGACTTTTCCTTATCATTTCGTCTACTTCCAAATTCAGACCGCCCATTTCACGAGAGCGAGTCTCATCGTAATCGAGATCAGCTTCACGGGCAGCCTTTTCGAACCAGGATTCGGACATTTTGATCTAAATCGAGTCTACGATAAAACATCGAAATTAATAAGAAAAAATGAACCTTTTTGCACCGAAACTCGAGAGAATCAATCTCAGACGCCAATCGTACTCGCTTCTTGATAGCAATCATAAGTGGCTCGAAATCGATTGGGAAGATGTCCAAGTCTTGCACTAAAAAATCCAGGAATATTAATTTTCATTATTTTAAATAACTTACTTCTATTCAATCCTTTACATAACTTCATATAGAACTGTCTACTTTGAGGATCAACAAGAACAACAGTCAATCCACGATGTGAAGCTCTTGCGGTTCGTCCACTTCGATGAATATAATCTCTACTTTTTTGGGCACTTGGTAGTGAATGACGTGGTCAATTCCCTTAAACAAAAGACATCTTCTACACACCTTCATACTATAGATTACCTGAATATCCAATCCACGTGCAGCAACATCTGTAGCAATCAGAACTGCATTTTTCGATTCTGCAAACTTTTCCAAATTCCGAAGACGTTGCTTCTGAATCATTTTAGCGTGAAGAATCATTGGATCGATATTGATAGCATTCAAAATATGATGAAGACGTCGTGCGGCATCGACAGAATTGACAAAAACCATTGTTCGTCCTGGGTAACGGTTGAGGAGATAGACCAGCGCAGTATCCTTTTCGACGAGATTTCCACAATTGATTCTGGCTTCAACAAGACATCCAGCGGTACCCATTTGACGAGTCAAATCAATGACTTTGTGCTTGTTCTCGCGAAGTCCGGTTAGCTTGATAAGGCGTTCTGGAATGTGTGTATGTGAAAAATTGAGTCATACGAATATCGAAAACCCACGAATTTTTTGATGAGCACTCAATTCTTTGGCCTTCTTCTTTTCCTCCTCTGCAACATCCTGTGCCTTGGCAAAAGTCAACGTGGCAGAAAAAACCAATGTCTGAAGCTTCTCTTTATCCGCTGCCTCGTGAATTTTGTTCAGAATATCGGTCAGCTCAGAAAAATATCCTTCTTCCACCATTCGATCAGTTTCGTCTACAACTAGACACTTGAGATTCGACCATTCCGCCAGGTAGCTCCCCTCTTCAGCTTCCTTAAACGTTAATATTTTTCTATACATTTCTAAAAAGATACCGAGGGAAAATTCCATTATACCCCCCACACAGTTACGACCCCCCACGTACTGGAATAACCCCCCACCCCGTTGAAAAGTGGGGGGTTAAAAAGGTGGGGTCTCAAAATGGGATGATCAGGTGGGGGGACACTTTAGAGTTCAGAATATCCCCCACCGTTGATT